ACCGGAAATCGACACAGCAAGATTGGCTCATTAATGGTGTCTGTCATCAGTCTCTCAGGAGCTTCGGGGATATCCTGAGGTGAAATGAGACTTCATTACCATTTACAACTCAAATGCAACAGGACAGTAACTCTTCCATCCCCATCAGCACAGCAGAGACTATGCACCCACCCATCACCCATACTCCCACGGAGAAGGAACCACTTCATTCCAAGGGAAGCCTAGTAGATACCTCACACACAGCTATGAAATGAACTGCTCTCTCAAGCACTGCTCTGCTGAACGAATGAAAACCCCCAAATCCCAGACATGGTCACTTTTCCTCCAGACTGTGCTGTTACTTTTCCAGCGGCCAGTCTGATCTCGCTCTGAATGTAAAGTAGCGTGTTTCGTCACATAAGGAATAAAGTCACCGGCGAATGCTTCAGAACAGCATCGATCCACTGAGGGGCTATTATTATTAGCACTAACTCTTTTCTGGTATCATGAATCAGTTAAGCTTTAATGGTACTAAGACACAGTCATGAGACAAATAACCACCGCCAAATTTATACGTGAACCACACCGAAATGTTATTAGACTTGAATCAGGTTAATCTCAAAACACCCTTCAGTGAAACCACATGCAAATTCAAGTTAAAAATGAAAGCTCTTGGTCCAGGAACTCTAAGAGAAGCTGACAAGACTCATTGACGTGTTGAGTCTAAGAAGTGAAACCTCAGATGAATGGTCCCTGGAGCCCTAAGCCCTCAGAAGCGTAGAGGGCATGGGGAGATGACAGTTCGAGGGTTCTGGTCTCTTAGCGGTTTCCTGCATGACGTTCTCTACAAACCGCCAAAGGAGAAGACCTTCAGAAGTCTGAAGACCACTGCTCAGTACCAGTCCTGGACGCAAGCGTATGGGATGCCATGGGTGTGGACAGAGGGCACGCTGACTTGCGATCTGCATTGAAGACTTCCTGTACAATGAATTCTACTAAGGATCCAGCTCCTTTCTTCCTCACAACCCTGTCTGGAGATGCCACCTCCAAGGCAGAGAGAAGGGAGCAGAAGCAGGGGTCACCGGCCACCCGCGGCATAGCTGGTAAGAACCGAGAGGGTATCTAAGCTCACTGAGCCTCTAACTGCAGAGCCTGTGCTCTCCCCACTTAATCCTACGACTTGGCTAAGGAGTTTCCAGGACAAAATTCTGCTGTTATACATCATGAAACTGTATGAGTAATACACATCGGACAAAACAAACGTACACAAACACCAACAGTGTGCACGCAATGTCAAAGTCCACAACCTTCTCCAGCAGCCCTGCCAGCCTGGAGGATTAGAGACAGATCTGTTCAGTCCACGCCGCAGATCAGTGATGGAAGGAAGAACACGACACTGGATGGGACCGGAAGGAATGCTAGAGCATCTGCTAATGTTTACAGAATGCTGCAGTGAAGGCACCTTCAGTTCCTGTTACCCGTATTCACTCACTGAACTCTCAGAGAACCCTGAAGAGTAGGTTCTGTTATCACCACTAGTTTGAGGACTAGCAGAAGCTTCCTGCATAACTAATTAATCAGAAACAGAAATCCACCTAAAGAACCCTGGTGGTGTAGCAGATTAAGCAGTGGGCTGCTAACCAGAAGATTGGTGGTTCAAACCCACCAGACACTCCACGAGAAAGATGTGGCAGTCTGCTCCCACGAAGACTGTCACTGTTGTTAAGTTCCATCAAGTCGGTTCCAACTTAAAGCAACCCTGTGTAGGGTTTCCAAGGAGCAGCTGGTGAGCCTGAACTGCTGACCTTGAGGTTCAAAGCGACTTTGCAGTCCAGCGGATTAACCCAGAGCCACACCAAGATTAAGATTACAGCCTAGAAATCCCTATGGGGCAGTTTTACCCTATCAAATAGGGTCACTGCGAGTTGGAATCGACTTGTCAGCACATAACAACAACAATCCACTTAAACACAATGCCAACTTTGAAACAGTAACTAGAAAGAAATACATACGTCTCCGAATTCATAGAAAGTCCCATCTTCTTTCTTTATATCGTGTTCTTTTAACCACACAATGGCATCTGAATAGTTCATCCGTTTAAAAGGCCGCTTGGGGGGCTTGAAGTTCTTTAGTTGAAAGGAAAAAGAGAGAATATAAAAAGAAACCATGAACACTGAAGTTTCTAGTTTTGAAAAACAGTTTACAATTATGAAATATTGTCTGACTGGTCCCAAACAAAACAGGCATTCCAAAAAATGGAAAACAACATGAGGCTCCTTTTCTAGAAATAAAAATATCATGAAATTACTAGTATCAAGGATTTATTTTAAAAATCTTAAGTCACTTCCCAGAGATGGAGGCAGAGTTGTTGACATGGAGAGACGGGGCAGCTGAAGATTCTAGACTCATGGAGGGAGAGGGGCTGTGTGCTGGTGGCTGGGGAGCAGGGTGTGCCCTTTGGCTGTCTGAATGATTGCATATTCCTGAGTGTTTGGGTGCACATCCCCCAAAAAAAACACCACCAGAGGGAATAGAACCAATACTGTTGAATGGTTGAATGATGACGCATGCAGGGGACTGTAATCACTGCAATGAAATGATGTTCCCATATAAACTATCAGTCAATTCACAATAAAAACTTTAAAAAAAATTCTTAATAACTTGCCCACCACCTACCGGATTCAGTTCATACACTATGCTGGCTGCAGGGGATTTCAAGACTCTGTCCACCACGTCACAAACCAAGTCCTCCAATCGGTTCAGGAGCTCCTCAAAGGTCAGGAAAGGACACTCGGCTTCAACATGGGTGTACCTGAGAACAAGATACTACTCAGAGTGCTTCTTCCAAGCAGAGATTTCAACACATTGTCCTGAGAACTACCAACTCCCAACACTCTCCCCCCGCCCCCGACCCTTGACTAGTGACTTCCTGTTTATTCTGTAACACATAAAGGATTAAGGCATCCTGGAAGAGCAGACCTCAGCTATGGTCCAAGGTGCAACTTCTAAATAGATGCTGCCATTAGTTTATTCAATCGCCCTTCACATACCAGAATTCTTATTTGTTTTCACATGGGCATCATTTACCTCTATAGAGTTCCCTTCTATAAAGACATTTTCTTTAATAAAAGAGTGAGAATCCCATACTCTGCCAGATGCCTTCGTGTCCGGGACTGCTCAGCCCTGTACGACTGTGCCAGGCAAAACACGTCCCCGAGCGCAGGGAGGCAGGTCTCCAGGTACAACTGCGAGGACTGAGTCAGGAACGCCTCTTCCCCGAAATAGTCCAGCTTGAAGAGCGTGGCACCTCCTTCTACCTGCGTTTGCACTAATGTTGGAGGGGTAACCTGTTCCAAATGGAAAGAGGTGTCAATATATGCTTATTGTTTTAAAAGAGCAGAAAGATATCATGTGCACAGATCAATCAATGGCAACAAATTATATGTTCAACTGTAAAAACATGAATTGGCAAATGGTATATGATAGAATATCTCATCCACGTGCATAATAAAATGGCTGCTTGCCAGGCTTTCGCTCTCCCTCCTGGAAGGAACCTCTCTTCCAACCTATGGAACTTCCTCTCTCCCTACCAGCATGTCATCTCTAGTCAACCTATCACTGACCTCCACTAATCTCAACCCCGCCCTCCTCTTTGACCAGTATAAAAATCCTTCCCTGGGCAATACACGCTCTCTCTCTCTTTCCTCCTGACCCCCAATAAAGCCTTACATGTGGGTGTATGTGTTCCAGCGCATTCCATCTCACATTTATGGTGCTGAAATCCAGGAGGGACTTTGTCAGGACCCGCGACTTTCCCAGCTCTCTGGTTGATCTGCTTCCTGGCTGTCCCTCCTGAACCTGCTGACCAAACATCCACCCAAGGGCCCTCATCTATTTCCGTTGCTGACTTTTACAACCACACACTGGTCAACAATCTCAGGGTGAGTGTTTGGGCAAGCCTCTCTCTCTCAGGTCCTCTGCGCTGTCAAGTCTAAGGCCTAACATTAGGCCAGACGGACTCTTCTCGGCCTGTGGCCCAGG